AATGCAGTTCATCATCACCATCCTAGCAAGCTGCTAAGGTTTAAATGCTTCTTTATGCACGCTTTTCAGAAATTATTCGTTTAAACGACCATTTGGTGCACCTCTGGACGAAGAACAAGACATTATGTTCAAGGAGGCTGCGCGAGCTAGCAGGTTTGTAGAATTAAATCGTTTTCCCGTTTATTAATTGTGTCTATTTTAGTGCCGCACCCACATATTTCGAACCGTTTGAGTACCAAGGAAAAAAGTTTGTTGATGGATCTTTTGTAGCTAATTATCCACTAAATATCCTTTTCAAGGTAAGCGAACCGTTTCAATTCTTGCAGTACAACAATCGCTCGATCGTATCTTGTTGGCTCTACCTAGAGCTATTTTTGAAATATGTTATTTTCAGGAACTTGACTCCTTTACCAAACACAACAATCGAATTCAATTGGCTGGTGTGGTTTCGATAGGAACGGGTGAACCTGCGCAATCGGAGCGAAAGTACAAAAGCGGAACTACTTTGAAGGCAAAGGCGAAAAACATGGCTCATTTGAGTACACTTATACTTGAACAGGTGTTAATTGCATCAAATTATTAGTTTCTGTAATTAGACAGCATTTTTACTAACTTTTAATTCTTGTGCCTCCTTCAGGTTGTCGGGCAAGATCTCCTAGCTGTTGAAATGGCTGAAGAACGATGTCAAGCTCACAACATACCGTTCATTCGCATAAGCCCGAAGGTTTTAAGCTGGCAAAAAATTGGTAATCACCATTATTTAGTGATAGTTTTACAGGGCATCAATGTGCGTATCGATCAGATCGACGACGGCAAGCTAATGGATATGATTTGGACTACACAGCTGTGGCTGGTTCGTTTATGCTTGTTGAAGGCCAAGAAAGTCTTATGAAGTATAGCGCCTGCCATCCATAATGGTGCAAAATACTTCTGTTATTAGGCTTCATTGAGCCAAACTTGAGCATTGAGCCTTACCCCACCATCAATGAAAGCGAAATGAAGTAAAAAGCGTCTATTTTTCAGATCCAGAACCTTCGCGAAGTCGACAAACTAGGTGAGCTACTATTCAAACTGCTCTCCGAACCAGACGATCGGAAACGTCGAAGCAACACAGTTCTCTAAGATGATACAGCTAAAGATGTATTAGGACGTTAGCTAGCATTTCCATTTTACGGATACGATTATGATTACGGCTATTCTGCGTTTTATTTAATATGTACCGATTACGGTTGCACTTTTACATTGAAATGATAGTTTTTAAGAATGCTTAGTGTTTTGTGCATGTTTCGAAAATCTCAAGCTTTATGCTGAGTTTGCGGCTGATAGTTCCAAAATAAGTCCTTGTCAGCTTCAATAGTGCTCCCATGTCTATCACATTCCCCCATGTTTTATAGCGATGTGGATTCTGTAAAAGAGAGAATAGAAGGCGCTGAAATCGATATCGTAACAAAATGAAATCGTCTCTTAAAAAATTAAGGCTTTATTGCATTATCTGCACATTATAATTGTTCTCTAGAAAAATATACGGATTTCTTTCCCCAATATGTTTTACAGCAAGCAGCGTAAAG